AAAGCCTAATTAAGAGTCCACGCACGGTGGTGCACATCTGTATTAACGATGAGTTGAGCTGTGCAGTGAGACCCTGCATAAAAAAAAAAAAAAAAAAAAAAAAAAAGGCCAAATTATCAATATAACTAAATGGGCCCAAAATGGCTTTTTCTTACCAATAAATGACAGTCAATAAAATTAGATGCTGTAACTTATGTCTTTGAGTATGAATACAATGCTGATATTCTAAGAAAAAACATTTTCTAGAGCTAGTGAGGTAGCTCCATGATAGAGTATCTGCCTAACATGTGCAAGGGCCCTGGGTTTGATCCTCAGTACCTCAAAAACAAAAATTACATACTTTTCAACAGTACTCAAAATATTCAGATTAAGTATCTTCAAAAATTCATAAAATTGGGCCGGCCAGATAACTCAGCAAATTTAAAGTGCCTGTTTAGGCAGATGCAGGGACCAGGTTTAATCCCTGGCATGCCTTTGATCCCTGGCATGCCTTTGTGCAGGCCCCACCCCTGGGGCACACTGAAACGGTGACTGGAACTTGATGTGATGGCGCATACCTGTAATCCCAGTACTTGGGAGGCTGAAGACTGGAGGATCACTACAAATCCAATCTGTGTAGTGAGACCCTGTACTTAATACATTAAAAAAAATTATAAAATTATAGAGCCTAAAGTGGCATAATGGTATACACCTGTAATCCCAGCTACTCTTAGAGGCAGGATTTCACATTTGTGCCAACCCTGCCTCAACAAAAAAGGAAAGATAAATAGATTGGTTAGGGATATAACTCAGTGGTACAGTACCCTTAAGTTTGATGCCTAACACCTCATCACAAATCCTCCTGCTTCAGCCTCCCAGGGTTCTGAGATTACAAGCATGTGCAACCATGTCACTTCAAGATAACTTTTAAAAATGTAAGTGAACAAGCCCAGAAGCTAGAAATTTGCTTAAAGCATCAAAAGAAGACTGGGAAAGAGACAGTGAATTAGTTAAATTCTGCATATGAGTGCAGAGTTCTACTTGCCAATGAGGACATGTGGGAGCCTATCACAGCTTCAACAAAGGTAGAAAAAAATTTTTAAATGATGTGCTCATTAGATAAAGACAAGAGTTGGGAATGCTAGAACTGCTAGAGGAAATCATGAGTAATTTTTTAAAATGCATAATGTAGTGTTGCTCCTAAAGATTCACATTTGACTGTTTCACTAGAAAAACTCCAATAAAGGAGGTCTATGGCACATGCAGGTTTGTGTTTCTACTAATCTGAAGCAACCAACCAGGTCTATAATGAAGTAATTTGTTACTTTACTGAGACAGGAATTAGTCATTTACCAATAAGTGAACTTAGTTAACAAGCAAGAACTTTGTTATTCTCATTAATTTTTTTAAATAATCCTGTTGATATTTTTGTTCCTACTTAGAAGATAATTATGTCCCTTAGTGGCAATAGCTAAGATGTTAGGATATATTCCATAACAAGAGCCTAGTACATTATACATTTCTGGCATACTAAGATACTATTCCAGTCAAAATTTAAGATATTTGTCCAACTATCTCAGTACATGTGTTATTCTAGTAAATTACAACCTGCACTGTGTGATCACATTCACCTTTGATAGTACTTTCTACCTTCTAGCTGAAGGAATGACACCTATTTCAAAAAAGATAAAATGCAGACATACAAGTTTTCCTCACTGAGCAAAGTAACTCTCTTTTCAAGTGTTTTAGGTTACTGTGTGCACTACTACATGTATTAACTCTGCTCAATTTCTAGTGAATGAAACATCATTACACTGCCACCTTACCTGTATCAGAACGATATAGGCAGTTTGGCCTAAGAAGAGACATGAAGGATTGAAAATAAAGTGTCTTAATTTTTTCTATTTGTTTCATCACTAATGAAGTATTACACGTAATGAGTAGTACAAAGGAACTTGTCAAAGCTGCTATTGTGGTTCAATCAGAACAAATCAAAGTGCACCTGAAAGTTCCCATTTTAAATTAATGCAAGGCATTTTAAACTTAATTGAAGGACCATGCATTGACTATACGTTATGTACTAATTTTTTCATGGCTGTTTCATTTTTTGAGACAAGGTTTTTAGTAATATAGTCTGGGCTGCTCTCAATGTGATAACCTCCTGCTTCAGCTTTTTGAGTGTTGGGACTACAGGCTTGAAGCACAACCACAACCAGCTTTTTATAAATTTGTTATAGTTTTAATGGTTTTTTTTTTTAAAAAAGAACAGATACAGAGCCTTGGGAGGTACAGGGAAAAGTGGCTTGGTTTGGTGTCACAAGTACAAACCCTGGAAAGATGATGATCAGATTATGAAAGATGGACAAGCTAACCAAAGAATTTCCACTTTAAGCTGCCTCTTCATACCTGCAGCAAATTTGATTCTCAAATTACAGGTATAATTCAGAAGACAGAATAGAAACACTAATTGAGCCTTATAAAATACATCTCCACTTTGAATAGTTAAAAAAAACTAGAAACAGGTGGCAGAGATACTACTGGTTCTGGAAACAAGATGACAAATCAAATTTCTTTATTTTCTTTAAATTTTATGTATTTGGTACAGGGTTTTGCTATGTAGCTCAGACTCATAGTGATCCTCCTGTTTTAGCCTCCCCAGTGCTGGGATTACAGGCCTGTGCCAAGCGGTATCAGTGGCCAGCTCAGCATGGGCTACAGGGTATTAAACTAGGTTCCTAGCACTTGCCAGGCAGGTGCTTAGATCGCTGAGCTTTATCTCCGGCCCAACAGAACAGATTTCAAGAAGCTCAAGTCACAGTTGAATTTTTCACTTTTTATATTTAAAGTTAAGAAGATAATTTAGGCAATCTTTGGTACTTTATTTTTTAAATTTCTGAGTCAGGGTCTTGCTATGTAATTCAGGCTGGCCCTGAACTCACTATGTAGCCCAGGCTGGCCTTGAACTTGAGGCAATCCTACTTCAGCCTCCAGTGCTGGGATTGATGATAGGTGTGAGCCACCATGCCCAGTTTCCATGCACTATTTAGTAATTATGGTATTTTGCCTAAAAATACAATTTCAGTAAATTATTGCTAAATAATATCCCCTTAGTGAAACTATATAAAATGGAATTGGCTTTCAGAGGAGTGTGATCAAATCAAATGGCCTCTTTCCCCTATTATGGTTATATTCTTTTCAGTGTTCCTTTCCCTCATGTAGTCTTTCCTTTAGCAAAGTACCTGTGTCCTTACTTTATACCAGGAATTTTCCTAGCACTAGGAAAAAATCATGTCTACAGGATTCACACAGTCCCTATCCTTGCCCTCAGGAGGTACACAGACAACTCCTAGGTAAAAAAAAAAAAAAAAGTCTAGTAACACATTGAGATCAGTGCTGTAAAAGAGAAACAAGTGCTCCGTGAAGGACAAGTTAGGGGTTACAAGGCTCACTGTCTGGGCCAGCGAAGGCCATTCTGCCAGATTTAGGTGGAGACCTAAGGAAACAGAAACCGATTATTACAAGTTGTGTGATTGTAAGGATAACGAGGTAAGGACATTTCAGGTATAGGGGCCAGAAAGCGCATGTATCAGGGTCTGAAATGTGGACAGCTTGGCTGGAACTTGAGAAACAACATAAAACTAGGTAATATATAATATGGGTAAGGACCGCATCATTGAGGGCCTTACAGGCCACGGAAATCTAAATGCAACGCGAGCCAGGTGTTTCAGACCACGCCTGTAACTCCAGCACTTGGGAGGCTGAAGCGAGGGATAGCCACGGGTTCGACACCAGCCTAAGGGTGCCAAAGTGAACTCAAGGCCAGGCTGAGCTGCCTGAGACCCTATCTCAAAAAGAAAAATAAATAAATGCAAAGAGAAGCTTTAGGAGTATTCCACATAAGTGAATTACAAAATTCATTTTGTTAAAATATCACACTGGTAAAAAAGTTGAGAGAGAAAAGTTCTAGAACCAGATGAATCTGGGCCTCTGACTATAGTATATAGTAGGCAAGGCAAGCGGCTGGAGCCAGAAGCCATTTCCTTCACTCCACGACGCGCCTAGGCGATGAGTTCCGAGGGCAACGGCGGCGTTAGACCACGGAATTCCCCTCATCTCTGCTGGTGCCCAGCACACAACTGGCGCCTTGAAACTGCCGGTCAGCGCAATGAATCAATGAATGGCCTGGCTGGGCCGCGCGCGATGCGCTCGGGGCGCGCGAGCAGGCCCGGCGTCAGAAAAGAACGCGAGGCGCTCAGCGGGAGGCCGCGAGAGGCGTCTGGCGAGGAAAGCAGGGGCTGGCTGCACCACAGACAAGGCGTGGCGTGGAGGGTGCCAGGGCCTCGCGGGCTCCAGGCCCGGCACAGGGAGGTAGAAGGGCGGAAGGCGGGGCTGAGGCAGGGATGCGGGCCCAGCCACTTACTGCTGCCGTCGCCAGGCTGTGCATGTTGAGAACGGCCGCCGCTCTCCTTCCTCTGCCTAAGACGTCCGACTTGCGTCTCAGCTTCAGCGCCTAAGCCGAGGAAGGTGAAGAGCCGCCATCCGCCTCAGGTTGGCTCCGCCCCCCGCACTCTGACCTTTCACCCCTGGTCCCGCCCACACAACTTCCCGCCTCCTGGCTCTGGGCCTAAAGTCGTGTAATATCCTTTGATCACCTAAGATTCAGAACCAAAGTGACAACCACGGCGTGTTAGTCCCGCATACACCCCGCATTGGGCAGAATGGGAACTCCGGCCCTCCTCCAAAGGCCGGGTAAGGGGGGGGGCAAACGCCCAACAGGATCGAGAGGACCAGAATTGCGCATGTCCACCTGGGCTAGGTGGGCGGGAATGGTGGGAAGGCGAAATTTGGTAAAGTGGGGAGTGCGCATGCGTACTACATCTCAGCAAGGGCGGGGTTTACCGGGTTGGGCGTAGCTGGGTGCCGGGGCGGGGTGAGAACGTAAGGGGCGGAGTTTGACATTTACGCGCATGCGCTGAGTCCGGTCGCTGTGCGTGCGTGCGTGCGTGTTTGCGTGTGGTCACAGTTCCCGCCATCAGCCGCTTTCCCTGTTTTTGGGGAGCGAGCAGGTTCGCCGCTTCTTGCTCGTTGTCCCTTCATTTCTTTACCTCCGGCTCCCCCCGCTCCGTGCGTACTCCATTGCTTCCGGAAGGCTTGTCTGGGGGCTCCGGACCCACAGGCACAGGTAAGGCGGCCAAGGTGGCTTCTCAATTGAGCCGTTTTCCCTAGCACCCCTCCCCCTGCGGTCCGCCCACTCGGCGTTCACTCTTCTGGAGTTTTCCCCGCTGCTGCTCAGCCCGCCCTCAACCCCTCGGCGCTCCCCAGGCCTCACTGGTACTCTTTTTGGGCCCCCTTTCTCGACTTTCCCTCTCATTTGACTTGGTCTGTACTGTCACTAGCTACGTCTGCCACCCAAACCAGTCCCCTTTTTTCTGGGACTGTCGTTGTCCACTGCTGGTGCCCTAACAAGGCCTGCTGGCTTTTCAGGTGAATACAGTTGCCGCACGTCGTGATATTTATTCGCCGTCTTGACCATCTTCATCTTCGTTTTCTAGCCATCATACCAGGTTGTCAGGTTAATCTCTTTTTAAATCATGATTCATGAAGAGCAATAATGGATGATAAAATCCTGTATTTTGGAGAGTTGTCTTGTAGTGGTTTTGTAGTGTTCCTCTCAAAATTTCAGCTGTGTTCATGTCTTTTGAGGGACGGCAGTGCCTGAAGCTCTCAACTACAGTAGCTACCTAAGAGAGAATGTCAAAATAGGCAGTTGTATGTTCTGGGTTTGCGATTACAGGCGAGTTCTGGACTGAATATGTACTGTACTTTATGTATTATATGTGCATGTTATCTTATGTGTTGATAGTCATTGGAGCCATGATTATGGATGAAATTACTCAGAGTAAAGGAGACTGGAAGGAGCATTGAGAGATTCTTGAAACTTAATTATTGGCCATAAGGGAGGAATCTTGTGAGAGATAAAAGGAGCTTTGTGTAATGTTGCGTTCTGCTGAAAGATAAAATTGAAGGAGAGCTGCAAAACCTAGTGCCATAAGTCTAATCAATTGTCTAGGTGAGAGATAATTTGATAAAGTAAGATGAACGTTTGGGTTCAATTGTGAGTCCTCTTTTGTTCTTCCATTTCTCCATAAGCTTTACATTTCAATTATGCATTGATACCAAGAATTTTTATTTCTAGTCTAGTTCCTTTTTTTGTTGTTGTTGTTGGTTTGTTTTTAACTCCGTATTCAAATAGTCAGTTGTCTACTTGACAGATAAACTTGATTTCTTAGGTTGGTTTTTTTTTTGTTTGAGACAGGGTCACCATGTATCCCAGACAGCCTCAAACTCTCAGAGATCTTGTGTCAGGCCCCTGCTCTCCAGCTCTGGGATTACAGATGTGCGCTGCCATGATTTCAAATTTGTGTAAAACTGAAGTTTTAATTTTTATTTTTATACAGGAATTGTTTTTGTCATGGGGAGAGTTGAACTCAAGGCCTGGCACATGCTAGACAGGTCTTCTACTACTGAGCTGCACCTCTAGTCCCAAACTCTTAATTCTTTTTTTAGAAAAAAAAAATTTTTTTTTTTAATCATTTATTTGGTACAGGGTCTCACTACGCAGCTCAGGCTCACAGTGATCTGCCGGTCTCAGCCTTCCCAGCGCTGTGATTACAGGTGTGTGCCACAACGCCCAGTTTTGGTGGCCTGCACAGCCTGCCCACCTAGGGTTCTGGGGCCCAAACCTGGGTCCTTGCACTTGCCAAGCAGGCGCTTAGACCAGTGAGCTACCTCCCCAGGCCCCATACTCAGTTCTTTATCTTCCTGACCTGTTTCATTAAGTAGCATGTCCATTTATTCAGTTACACAGAATAGAAACTGGAGCAAGGGCTGGCAAGATAGCTCAACGGTCTAAAGTACCTGCTTAGGCAAGTTTAGGCAGGCACAGGGGACTGCAGTTTGATCCCCGGCACCACATGCCACACCAGCCCCACCCTCAGTGGGCTGAGCTGGCCAAAAAAAATAAAGAAAAAAGAAACTGGAGCAAGGCATTATTGACCTCTTTATCTCATGAATATATACCTTCTTCAATTTACACCGTAACTATTGTAATTCCAACACGTTTCCTGGGTCTACTTTTGTACATCATCAGTTTTCCTCTGATTTTGGAAAACTGATGTACAAAATTTTGTAGTGCAAATCAGTCTCATTTTTTCTTTTTGGCGGAACTGGGGATTGAACTCAGGCCCTTATGCTTGCCAGGGAAGTGCTTACTCTACTGAGGTATCTACCCGGCCTCCAGTCTTTCTTTACCTGGACTCAAATCTGTGGCCCACAGTATTCACATGTATACAGTGAGGAAAAAAGAATTCTCATTTGATTAAATGAAATTATTATAAGCACATGGCACAGCGGGGCGTGGTGGCATATGCCTGTCCCAGTCCCAGCACTTGAGAGGCTGAGGCAGGAGGATTGCTGTGAGTTTGAGGCCACTCTGGACTACATAGTGCATTCAAGACCAGCCTAAATTATACAGTCAGACCTTGTCTCAAAAAAAAGAACCTTACACACATAAATTGGCAAGTAGGCGTTATTGTAAAGGTGAGGAGAATGCCTTCAGTAAATTCTCCCTCTAGTTGCTTTGTTGCCTTACCGCCCCCTCTTTTTAGACAGGGTTTTGCTATGTATTTCAGGCTGGCCTTGAACTCACTACGTAGCTCTGGCAGGTGTTGAACTTCATCCTGCCTCAGCCTACTAAGTGCTGGGATTGCAGACATGCACCACCATGCCTGGTTTATCTGCCTTACTTTGGATCCTTTCCATTCTCCTGTCCAAACCCAAACTATTGTTTCTTCTCTATTCGGCAATATAACATGTGATTTCTTTGCTTCAAACTCAGTGAATTGTCCATTACTGTTTTATTGTATTTAAGATAAAATTAAAAATCTTTATTGTGGTTCACAAGACTGTATATAACCTGGCTCTTGCCTGGTTTACTAGCTTCTTGTATCATCTTTTTATTTTTATTTTTTTTTTGGGGGGGGGGAGCATTGAGACAGTGTTTCATTGTGTAGTCCAGGCTACATACTGATCCTCCTGTCTCAGCCTCCCATGTGCTGGGATTATAGGCATGGGCCACAATACCCAGCCCTGTCTTTTTTTCTTCCAGCCTCAGTGCTTTTAAATATTCTTAGTCATACAAAAAGTATTTTCTTTTTTTTTTTTTTAATTTTTATTTATTTATTTATTTGAGAGAGAGAGAGAGAGAGAGAGAGAGAGTGAGAGTGAGTGAGAGTGTGTGTGTGGCCAGCTCAGCCCACCAGGGGGCAGGGCTGGCTGGCATGTGGTGCTGGGGGATTGAACCGCGGTCCCTGATGCTTTTGCTAAGCTTGTTCTAAGTAGGTGCTTTAGACCACTGAGCCATCTCTCCAGCCCAGTATTTTCTTTTTTAAAGCCTTTGTATATGCTGTTCTGCTTACCTGGACTTCTATCAACTACTTTCCAATCCTCTCATTTTGTTGTTGTAATGAGAATTGAACCCAAAGCCTTCATTCACATGGAGCTAAATGAATTCTCACTTTTTTTTTTTTTTTTTTTTTTTTTTTGGTATTTAGTACAGGATCTATAGGGTCTCACTAAACAGATTGGATTTGTAGTGATCCTCCTGTTTTCAGCCTCCCAAGCACTGGGATTACAGGCGTGCACCACCGTGCCCAGTCTCTCAATCCTTTTTATTATTTCCAAGATAGGATCCCACTGAGTTACCCAAGCTGGGCTCAAACCTGTGATCCTCCTGCCTCAGCCTCTTGAGTACTAGGATTATGGGTGTGTGCCACCACACCTGGTTTCAACTTGTTCTTCAATTTTCAATTTAAGTGGTACTTTCTTAGAAAAGCCTTCTCTTGACTTGCTCTTACCTTCAGTCTCTGGGCCTTAATCATAAGTCTCATGCCCTGTATTTTACTTTATCTCATTTTTTAGAACTTGTAATTATGTATTCCCTCAATGATTTAATTGAAGGCTGCCTCCCAGGATATAGGATAGTGATTAGTTCATTTTTATTCCTAAAGCATTTGTTAAATGATTGAATAAACTGGAACTTGCTGAAGAACCATCATGTCTTTGGAAGCACCAGCTTACTAATACTCATATCATAGCATGACACTTTTCATTCAGCAGATAAATTAAAGGATACATCAAAAGAAAATAAATGTTTTTCCAGCTTTGGATGTTTTTACCCATTTTTGTATTATAAAATTGTTCAGATTTAAATTCTTTGAGTTGGGGTAGGAGAGAGAGCTCAATAGAATAAGCGCTTGCCTGGCAAGTGCAAGGGCCTGAGTTCAATCCCCAGTTCCACCAAAAAAAAAAAAAAAAAAAATCTTTTAGTTGAAGATGAACTTTATCAAGATCAGTACCTCTGTTTACTTTCAGTTATATCTATCTTGTATATTTGTTTAATGTTTATTGGGAAAGAAAATCCTTGAACATTAGAGTTATGGTTTATATCTTTAACAGGTTATTATGAGACCAATAAGAGAGAAAACAGCAATCCCAACTTCAGTCAGCTATTGTGAATGATGAGGTGAATACTTAAAAGTTAATTTTTTTTTAATGCATGTAGAATTCATGTTGAAAAATGAGGAATAAAAGACAGAAACAGAACCAGATCTAGTGGCATACATGTATTATCTCAGCACTTTGGGAAGGAGCTGAGGCAGGAGGATTGCAAATCCAAGCCCAACCTGGGAAACCTAGCAAATTAGTGAAACCTTGTTTTAAAATATAAAGTAAAAAAGGCCACAGAATTAGTGCAAAAGTGCAGAGACCTTGGGTTCAATCTCTAGCACTAACCTCCCCGTAAGTTGGACAGATGTCTAACAAGATAGATGGATAATTGATTGATTGATTTTGAAGATTTATTTTCTAAGTAGAGGCAAGCTAGCATTAGAAATATTTGGGGGGATTAATACTATCAGTTGTAAATTTACTAAGTCTTATTTTGTCAAAGTATACAAGTTAGTGTATGCCATGCCCACTACTTTCCTTTCATTTGTAGAAAGAAAGGAGACAACAATCAGATATTCTAGTTTCTAAGAAACAAAAGAAAGAGGGGCTGGAGATGGCTCAGTGGTCTAAAGCACCTACTTAGAACAAGCTTAGCAAAGCATCTGGGACCTCGGTTCAATCCCCCAGCACCACATGCCAGCCAGCCCCGCCCCCTGGTGGGCTGAGCTAGCCACACACACACACCACACACTCTCTCTCTCTCTCTCTCTCTCTCTCTCTCTCTCACACACACACACACACACACATAAATAAAAATTTAAAAAAATATTTAAAAAAAAAGAAACAAAAGAAAGAAATTTTTCACAAAGGATGTTGTAAAGAATCATTTGTTGGAGAAATCCTGAGAAAATGGGGACTGGATGAACTGTGGCAGTGGTTAAAAATGTGGTTTCTGGTCTTTAGATGTAACTTTCTCTATTGACTGTATGCATGAATTAATCTAAGTCAGTTTCCACATCTGTAAAATTGTCCCTTTAAGGGTTACTGTGAAAATTTAGTAATGTATGTGTGTGTACTTACCACTGTGCTTAGTAAATGGTGCATAATACATTGGGTAGGATGATGGCAAAATGATTTTCTGCGTTAGACTAGTAACTAGAAAAATTAGGTTTTGGATAGATGAGAATGAAGTAAGACTAATGCTAAGATGTCTTGCCTAAGTGCTGATAGAATAAAAATAAGGAAGCCGAGGAACCTCTTCATGAGGTCATCAACTGTATCTTCACATTTATATCCTTACCACAGTGCCTTCCCGCTGAAGTAACTTGATAGGTGGATTTTGTACTACATGAAAAGATGAGTTTAAAATTGATGTACCATTCAAGTAGGTAGTAAGGAATGTCGGGATAGAACTTTACAGAAAATTCAGGTTTGAGGCTTAACTTGAGAACATTTTCTGTTTAAAGCTTTAAAAGATAAAAAAGTGATGACTTTTATTTACCTTTGGAAATTTGTATCAACACATTATGCAAGCGGTATTTTAAGACTTGGATCTCAGTGTGTAACAATGTTTATGAAGTCAACAAAGGACATACTTTTTCACTGACTTCTATGTTTCCAAATGTAGCAGGAAAAAGCAAATAATAAGGACAGTTGATCAAGGTACAGGTTCCTCCCTCAGTCCCTCATTTCCACAGCACATACATTCCTAAAGTTGGGTTGATCATGTGTATGTTGTGTATGCATAGCAGATCATGTTAAGTATTTGAGTAATTGATTTGTACTTTTAAATATGTGAGGGGTTAATCTTTGTTGTGTAAATGATTGTTTTCCTTTTTAAAACAGTTTTTAATATTGTGTATTGAATTCTTTTAAAAAGGCACACTTATATTTTCTTTAGCTGAGTTGATGGCTCCTGGAGAACTGGCCTAGCTGCAGAATATGAGTAGTTTCCCAAGAAGAGTGCCTTGCCTTTGGCACAAGGATCAGAATAAAGGTGAATTGTTATTACATAGGGTTTTTCAGTAAAAGTCACTGAAAAGTAAGTCGTATTTTTATTTTGGATATGTGTTTCCAAGAGTATGCTATTTGGCAAGACTTAAAAGAGTTTTTGTGTTTATTTTGTAGTAATAGTTCTATATTTTGGCTTTTTTTTTTTTTTTTTAAAGCATAGTATGCTTTCTGGATAAGGATATTTTCAAAGCAGTACCTTAAATATGAGCATTTATATAAATATGATGTAGAAATGTGTTTGCACTTTTATGGATCAAGTTTCATAGAATTCTCAAAATTGAGCAATAATTTTAATTGTGAAGATGTTTTTCAGTAAAGGCGAATCTCTTTGAACTGTAGAAAATAATTCTTTTTATAATTATCTTTTTTCTTCCTAATATTGCTTGACTAAGGGAATTAGCATTATTCAGTTTAAGGAAACTTTTGTCTTTGTCTTAAGTTCATAGAAAATTTAACTGTCATCAGATCGTGTTTTGTAATGTAAAAGAAACTTAGTTTCTTTTCTCGCTAACCAAATAGGGCAAGTTGTGATAGCATGAACAATGTACTAAAGTAGTTAATTCATTTAGTATAAAAGCAGGTCCTGGACTAAACTGGGACATTAGTAAAATGTTTTATTGTATTGGTTGTATCAATTATATGTCCCACATCATTTAGTGTTTCTTTTTTCCTTAGAAGAAAGGTGGCTGAAAGTAATGAATGGTTCAGAAAATGTTGAATATCCAAAGTAAAATTTTGTACAGTTAATCAGAATTGTACATAAAAATGTTTGAGAGGCTTAGAGCATTAGAAAAGTAACCAAAGTAAAATGTTTGAAATCTCTATATTTAGAGATTGGGCCTCAAAATGTAATTCAGACTGTCCTTGAACTCACCATGTAGCCAGGCTGGCCTTGCACTCATGGCAGTCCTACCCCAGCCTCCTGAGTGCTGGGATTACAGACATATGCCGCATTCATTGCCTGGGTCTGCCCTTTATTTAAAAGGACAGATGTTAAACTAATATGGTGTTATATTTCCATTTATGTTGGTACCCAGACCAATAATGACATGTAAGGAAAAATCAAGGAATGTGGCAGTATATAATGACTCTTAATGTAGAGTTGCTCTTTGAACAGTTATCATGAATCTTAGTTTGGACAAGTTGATCAGTTAAAGTATCACATGTTCCAGGCCTGCTTGAACTACATAGCCAGACTCTGTCTCAAGAAAAGAAGGTTATCTGTAACTGTAATTACTTATTCCTCATAGGTGATTTTTCTTCAATTCCTCAAAACAATGAGGACAGCTTTGAATTTTGTGAAGTTCAGGTATATAGTCTTCAAAAGATGTAATAATTTTGCATAGCAGGATTCTTATTTTTTTGTTCTTTTAAGGCAATATCTCATTACATAGTTCAGGCTGGCCTCCTACTCACTGGGACCCTTCTGCCTCAACTTCATGAGTGCTGGGATTACAGGCATGCTATACCACCCACCCCTGGTTGGGCAGTACTCTTTTTTTTTTTTTTTTGCGGTACCTGGGATCAAACTTGGGACCTTGCGCTTGCCAGGCAGATACTTATACCACTGAGCTATCTCCCCAGCCCTAGCAGTACATTTATGAAGAGTTTGCCAAAGGTATTTATGATTTTAGTATCTGCTATTGTATACTTTAACAGCAAATTGAATAAAGTTGGTAGTGCTAATTTGTTCATTCTTGTATTTCTTGTGTATCAGATGCAGTCTCCACAGGGTTGGAAAGATTAAAGCACATATTCCTTTGTCTTCAAATAACAAGTTCTAGATAGAGTCACAAATAACGATTATAATAAAAGTGTGATAAATACTGGAAGATAAGCTCAGAGTACCACAGAAAAAGGAGGATTTAAACAGTCTCAGCATGGCTATGGGGGGGGGGAGAACAAATAAAAGGTAGTGAGGAAAGGCTTTGGAGAGAGGGCAGCATTTAATTTGAGCTCTAATTTTAAGAGTCGAGAAAAAATTAAGAAAGGTTAGTAGTAGTTAAGTACATGAAAATCCTCTAGTGCTGACCATAGTGTGTGCATAGTTGCATAAGGATATTTGGGTTTGGGGAAATTATAAGTAGTTGGGATGATTGGGGGTTTGAGGGTATAAAAGTTCTGTAAAAAGTGTGTGAAGATAAAATTGACAGAACTCTCCTTTTACCTACCAACTTCAATCCAGTACCAACAATCATCAACAGAGAAGTCAAAGACAGTTCTTATTTTTGGTATAGAAAACTGGGATAGGAGGGGAACCATGTGTACTCTTTGTAGTGCTAAAAGTCAGTATGTTATAGGTATACCCACTGAAGTCATAAGTACTTAATTGCAACAAAAATTTCAGAAAAAAAAAACAAATACATATTTTTGTTCAAATTTTTATAGTTACTGGTTTGTACAATATGAAAATAAACAGGGCTATAGTATTAATTGCCTCAACATTAATTGATGAATTCATATATCTAGCAAATTATATTAATCTGGTCACTGTGTACTCAGAAAATTTTGATGAGATTGAATGAATGAATAACAATTGAGAATCTAATCTGTAATCCATAATACTTTTTAAGTCATTAAAGTGTTTTTACATCTTTTCATTTTATTTTCACTTATTTCCTATGTAGTAAACTGCAAACCTTGTAGTTTTGGTTGTTTTTGAGATAGGCTCTCACCTGGCTGGCCACAAATTGGCAACACCTTCCTGATTTACTCTCCCCAGTGCTGGGATTACAGGTGTGCTTCACTATGCCCAGTTTATTTGTAGCTTTTCAAAGTATATTTGAATTCATTACTCAAAATTTAAAATGGGACGTTTTTCATGAAAGTCTGAGTCATTTTCTTGAAAAAGATGTGGTAGTACTATGTTCATTATTCTACTCACTTAATTGACTGAATTGGATAGTGGTTGTTCACACTTGCTTAAGTCATTTCAGTTACTTCACTGGCCTCTTACAGGCAGTTGAGTAGTAACTATTAATCTTGTTTATTGAGGTCTTTGAAGGAAGTGGTATAATATAAGTGAGAAAGTAGGTACTAATTTTTAATCTTCATAATGCTGTCAGTTAAATGCTTGCTAAGTGTTATTTCATTACCTTACAGCATTGCTATTCCTATTTTATAATTGAGAAAATATAACTTAGTTACAAGTTCGTAAGCAACAGAACTGGCCTGTAGTTTCTAGATCTAGTATTGTTTTTCCTTATATACTGCCTTTTCTAGAATTTCTTGTTGAACTGTTTAGGCTGATGCAGTTTGTAATGATTTTCAATTTGTTGACTTATGCAATAATCCATTTTAGGGGCAATATTTTTAGTGGTTTGAAAATGATACAAATAAAATTTGGTTTAGCAATTTTAAATGAATATACATTTCTGTATATAGGATATAGTAATATTTTTCTACTATTACTGTGATTTTACTTACTGACTTGGTAAAACTAAAGCGTCTAAGATATCTTTCATTTCTGGTAGTTAATTTTAAGTATTGAAAGTTCATTCAGAAACACAAGTGTCAAAGGTAAAATTCTTTTCAGGAATAATGGTAATATAAATATAGGTGATTCTTAGGAAGACTCTTTTGTGCATTTTTCCTGAAGATTAAATATTTTTTCTCAGTAATGATATGATTCTGGAGGTTGAACTAATTTGATTATTCTTAAAAATTTTTAATCATATAATATTTTCTGCACATGTGATCTTGTTTAGATTACTTACTAAATACGTTGTTGTTTGGAAAGAAACCACGTTCTAAGAAATAGATTCAGATGACTAAATTTTTTATTTAAATTTGAAATTTACGACCCATTATCATTTATAAAGGAATAATTGCTGTAAATGCAGTTACAATGAGAATAGAAACTGATTCCTTTTTTTTTTTTTTTTTTTTTTTTGCAGTACCAGGGATTGAACTCAGGCCCTTGCGCCTGCCAGGCAAGCGCTTATTCTACTGGGCTATCTCCCTGGCCCTAGAATCTGATTCCTGATTATTGGCAACAATATGGTTATGAGTGGTCAGTGATATAGGTATTGGACCCAGGGCAAAGAAGGGAACATGGGCAGAAGGAATTAAAGGTGGTATATGCAGTCACTGAATGTGAGTGCCTACTTTAGTTGTCTTTTTTTGCCTGTCTTTTATGGCTAATTAGGACCTTTAAGAAAAGAATGCAGGAAGGTTCGTTAAGCATTATCTTTTAAACTATTTTAGTCACTAGTAACTTCTAACTTATTTTTTTTTTTTCTTTAGAACCTGTCAGGTGAAGGTGTATTTTTTATTTTTTAATTTGGTTAGAAGCAATTTATTTTTAAAGAAAATATGTCTCCTCTGAAGATACATGGACCTATCCGAATTCGAAGTATGCAGACTGGGATTACAAAGTGGAAAGAAGGATCCTTTGAAATTGTGGAAAAAGAGAATAAAGTCAGCCTAGTAGTTCACTACAATACTGGAGGAATTCCAAGGACATTTCAGGTATTAACCAAATTTTGATTTGGAATGGTTTTTAAATACATCTTTTAATAAATAGCTGTTCTGTACATAGTAAGCATTGTAGTAGCCCTTCTTGCTTCTTTCCAGGGACACTAGGACTTTTTGTATATATTTTATACATTATTCAGAATTGTTGGCTCTGAATACTAAAGGGTGGGAAATAGTCACTATTAAAAAGAAATTAGTGAGAAGGGACTTAGAAGAGTTTGGATACAGTATATTTAAGCTGTACTTTTTCTTTTTCCGAGTAACATAGGTGAAGGATTCATTCATCAGAATTTGACATAAGTTTTGTTTTGGGTTTTTGTGCTTTTTTTTTGTTTTTCTGAGACAGGGTATTGTTATATAGTCTAATCTGGTCTTGAACTCACTTCGTAGCCCTTTGATAGGTTCCAGCTTGAGTACCGACTGCTGGCTCAACAGGGCTGTATCCCCAGAACAACAGCTTATCTTCCAATGACCACTTCCTCTTCCCTCCCCACTCCAGTGCTGGTTACAGCTTCCTTTACCTTGGCTCTGCACGTGGGGAATGCCCAGACAGCTCCTTATGTGCCACTGAAACTGCCCCTCAAATTCTACCCCTAGCAAAAGGCCATAAATCTTCAGCCTTCTATTCTCTCAGGTCAGGGGATCCCCTAGCTCCCTGCCCTTGATCTCCAGGTCTTCAGTTAGTAAATATTCCCCCCGTCCCCTTTATTTCTGTTTCTCTGCTGTGCTGCCAAAAAACCCAACACCTATATTGGCCTCAGAAATTCTTTCTGACTCAGCCTGTCAGGTTCCTCAGTGCTAAGATTACAGGCATGCACTAACATACTTTGGGTTCTTGTTAGTTGTCTGTCTTTCTTTTCTTTTCTTTTCTATCTTTCTTGCTTGCTTTTCTTTCCGAGACATGGTCTCACTGCATAGTTCAGACTAGCCTTGTACTCACTGTGTACCCTAGGTGACCCCAAACATACAGTGATCCTCCTGTCTCATTCTCCCAAGAGCTGGGAGTATAAACGTGTGCCACCACATCTGGCCAGTATTAGGGGTTTTTTTTGTTTTGTTTTTATTTTTAGTATTAAGTTTTAAAAAGATTTATATTGTCTTCTAAAAGCCAGTTTCTACTTCATAATTAATCCTGCCAGATGTCACAGCATGGAACATTCAAGGCTTATTATTCAAGATCATCCTAACTTTTTGAGGGGATACTGGCAATCAAACTCAGGACCTCATGTTTGCCAGGCAGGTGCTACACCACTGAGCTATATCCCAGCCCTTAACTATTTTCTTAGAACTAAAATTTTGAAGAATTCTCATTGTATGGTTTGTATATAGAAGTTTGTATATATTTTTATTGGGTTTTGGGGATGGGGGGAATCTTTTTTAAGCCAGGCATGATGGTGTCCACCTGTAATCTCAGCACTTACAAGGTTGAGGCAAGAGGATTGCCAAGAGTTCAATACCAGCCTAGGCTACAAAGTGAGTTCAAGGCCAACCTGAACAACATAGTGAGACCCTGTGTCTAAAAAGAAAATAAAGTAAAATATAATACAGTATATAAAGTAAACAGGAGTTAGTGACACAAGTACAGACTAGAGAGCTTGATGTTTCTGGATAGCTGTGAGTGCTGAAGTTCTTAAGGAGTCAGGTATCTCTAATTCCTATTTCTTGGGGATATGCATGATAATGAGACATTAGGAAAGATATTCAAGAGGTTTGGTGGGAGGTTAGATGAGAGATCAAAGTCCTGAACTAAGGAAATAATGAAAGAAGCAAGAAAAAAAAGTACAGACTTAAGAGCTTGGGGAGATTCCCTTTTTATAAGAGGATGTGGGTCTTTTTTGTGCCTTTTGTTATAGGGAGCTGAGGAAAATATTAGGTGTGAAGAATATTAAGAAAGAGGAATTGCTTGAGGTATGAGGACTTTAAAAAGTAAACAGGCCTGGAGTTCTAACAGAGAGCTCAGGAGTTCAAAAAGAATAGGGAGGGGTGGGGAGATAGCTTAGCAGCCACCTGAAGCACAAGGTCCTGAGTTTGATCCCCGCCTCCACTAAAAACAAAGAAACAAAAAAGCAGGGAGGCTGAGACAGGAGGATCACTGAGTCTGAACTGCATAGTGAGGTCCTGTATCAAAATAAATAAATAAAAATTAAAATTAAAAACGTAGGGAGTCCTTACATGATTACTAAAATTGTGAGGCTGGATGGGATTTATAGTTGTTGAACTGGCCAAATTCTCATTTGTTAATGAATAAACTTTCCTATTTACATTTAAAATTAATTTAAAAAACCTCCCCTAAAAATTTTTTAAAAATTAATTTATGTGGTATAGGGTCTTGCTACCCAGCTCAGACTCAGTGATCCTCCAGTCTCAGCCTCCACAATGCTGGGATTACTTGTGTGCACCACCATGTCCAGTTTTGTGCATGCCCAGTTTTCGGGGGAGAGGGGCGCATGGTATGACATACAGTACGGGGGAACCAACCAGGGTCCTTGCAGCTTGCCAGGAAGGCACTTAGACCAAAAAGCTATCTCCCTAGCCCCCCTTTTTTATATTTAACTATTTTCTTTCCAGTGATGAATTGATTGACATAATGCTTTTACGTTACCTATTTTTGTGTTTTATTGATTTCTACTCAAGGGCATGAATTGAAGCTAAAATAAACGTATCACTACAAATTTAATTACTAATTGGTATAATTGTTTTTCATTCTTATCTAAAAATTGACAGTTTTCCCTGATTAAGATTATGAGACATGTTATTCTTTATAACATGTTGTTTAAAGGATATATCCTCAGCAAAATCAGTTTTAGAAACCTTTATGCCTGCTGAAGGAGAATATTAGAGAATAAATCTGAGTGCTAGGAATTATTTACGTAATGAAAAACTTTTAAGAGTAATTCATTTCACCTTGGAAAATAAATTTCGTTTGAGAGAAAATTAAAGGTATTTGTAGCACATTTCCAAAAGCTAGGAGACTCCACAGATAAACTAGCTCTGGGCATTGATAGCAGTAAGCTAAGAAAATTCTAGTGTGCTTGTATTTTCATGATAGAAGGGAAGTGAGTCTTAGGACAGTTAAAAAGTATTTTCTTGGTATTTGGAAAGCTTTATTTTTGACATAGTTTTGAGAGATTGAAATTCTTTTGAGGTTTGTAGCTCAATTTATATTCCTCTTATATTGTAGGTGCCTAAACGATTTGTCAAATATCTTTAGGAATTTAATGTGGGGGCGGGGAGATGGCTCAGTGAAATAAGCGCTTCCCTGGCAAGCGCAAGGGCCTGAGTTCAATCCCCGGTTCTGCCAAAAATAAAAAAAAATTTAAAAAGAATTTAATGAAAAAAAAGACTAGCATAATTTAACTTTTCTATACTGGAGATAGTATTATAACCATTCAGGCTCTAAAAAATGTTGAGTCACTTTCTTATCCTTTAAAACTATATTTAAATATATACTTCTCTTTCCATAAGATCAAGAGAATTAGTATTACTCTATAAAATGAATTTTAGTAGTATGTGTTTATATCTTCTGAAAGTTAAGTCTTTGAGTTAGATGTATTAAGAGAATAATTTGGAAAACATGAAGTTTAGTATTCATTATACAGTTTAAATTATACCTCATAGACCTTTTGATGATAATTTTTTTAAATTTTTATCAGCTAAGTCATAACATTAAAAATGTGGTGCTTCGACCCAGTGGAGCAAAGCAGAGCCGCCTAATGTTAACTCTACAGGATAATAGCTTCTTGTCTATTGACAAAGTACCAAGTAAAGATGCAGAAGAAATGAGGTTGTTTCTAGATGCAGTCCATCAAAACAGACTTCATACAGGTGAGCACTTACCATGCCCAAGTCTGAAATGAGCAGTTTTTAAAAATTATGACTAGGTTACAAGCCAGTAATCTTAATACATAATGATGCCAAAATCCTCAACAAAATACTACTAGAGCCGATTTCAGTAGCACAGTAAGAGTTGTATGACTAAGAAGAATTTATTCCTAGAATGCAAGGATGGTTCAAATATGAAAGTCAGTCTTTAATACATTTATTAACAGAATAAAGGAAAAAAGCAGCCTGATATATCAGTTCATATAGGAAAAGCTTTTGACTAATTTACCACCCTTTATGATAAAAACATTCAATAAATTCAGAGAAGCAGGAAACCAATTTCAGTGTGAATAACTATCACATATGAAAAACCGACCCAACTAAGGTGATACTCAACAATAAGAAACGTGTGTGTGTGTGTGTGTGTGTTTGAGACAGGATCTCACTATGCAGTTCAGGTTGGCCTTTAGCCCAGGCTAGTCTTGAACTCACAGTGATCTTCCTCCCTTAACCTTCCAAGTGCTGGTATTGCAGGCGTGTGCCTCCACACCTGGCTGACACTAGAAGTTTTTCCTTTAAGATCAGTAACAAGACAAGGATGCCTGCTTTTGCCACTTTTGTATAGCTCTGGAAGTTTTACCCAGGCATGCTTTTTGTATTTAGTTGATGCCTGTATTTAGCATATTCTCCTTATGAAAGAAAAAGGGTTTGCTGTGGTTGTTTGCCACTTAGAACCTACTCATGTGTTTATGCCACCAAATCTGGACTGTGTCAGTTTACTAAATTAAGTTTTAGAATCAAATTGAGTATAGTACTACTTAAAATTCTCACAGTATTTTAGAAATTATGTCTATGTTTCTGTATTTGTATTATTCCATTATACCTATTAATTGCATCACAGTCCTAAGGATTGATGTAAAAAAATGTCTTTTTTTATTAAAAAAAAAAAAAAAAAGAACAAGTCTTTAAGTACATTGGATCAGGATAGCACAATATACTGGGAAGCCATGCTTAAAACAACGTGCTGTAGTGAACAACTATGTTCTTTGGTCCTAAACAGATTTGTTTATTTTTGGTACTGGGAATTGAACTCAGTACCATATCCTTGTCAGGCAGGCAATGTGCTACTGAGCTGTATCCCTGGCCCCTTAAGCAGATTTGAATTTTAAGCCTACCTCTGCTTGTTATTTCCTGTGTTATTTTGGGCCAGTCACTTAACAACTGAATTTTAATTTCCTCATCTCTAAAATGAAGACTATATCATCTTAACTTCCAAGCTTTTTAAAGAATGTGAGGCCTGACTGGCACATGGTAGCTACTCAGCAAGTCATTAGTATTATCAAGAGTAGCTCGCTTTGTCTGTAACACTAACACATTGTTTGATCTTGGACAAGTCATTTTAATTTTTTATGTTTAATTGTCTAGCTTCCCCAAAGGGATAATAACTTCGCAGGAACTAGAGAAAGATGATGAATGTAACTATACTTTGAAAAATATAAAAAAGAAAGAAAGAAAGAAAGAAAGAAAAATGTAAGGTATTTCACATTTAAGGTCAGCACTCAAATCAGTGGGAAAAAGACAATATTTGATAGTGTTCTTTATAGATAAAACAACTAGTTAACCATTTAAGATACTGAAATTGGATCCTTTTTTCCTTTCTTTTCTTTCTTTCTTTTTTTTTTTTTTTTTTTTGTTTGTTTGTTTGTTTGGCGGAACTGGGGATTGAACTTAGGCCCTTGTGCTTGCCAGGGAAGTGCTTATTCCACTGAGCCACCTTCCCGGACCCTATTTTTTCCTTTTATCAAAATAATTTTAGCTCAAAGATTTGAATGTAAAAAGTGATTTTTTAAAAGAGAGTGGATTCCATCATATTCTAATGCTGGAAAAGACCTTTTGGAGTGTACATAAAAAATAGCAGGGCTGGAATATATAGCTTGGCTAGAGTGCTTGCCTAGAATGTGAGAGGCCCTGGGTGCCATCCCTGCACCATTTAGAAACAAACCAAGCCTGCTGGATGTGATGGTACATGCCTATAATCCTAGCACTTGGAAGGCTGAGGCAGGAGGAATGCTGTGTGCCTGGGTTACCTAGTAAGTCCAAGGCCAGCCTGAACTGAAACCCTGTCTCTAAAAAGACCAAAAAAAGAAACAAGCCATCGTAGAATCAGTAGAAGATAGTTTACTTAGACTGCAAAAATTTAGTCATTGTCTATGGTGGGGGAGGGGGAGAGAAAAAAGCTAGTGATACCACAGTAATAATTACAAGAATTTATGTTACTATCATTGATACACAAAGACTTACTTCACAAATTGATAGGAAAAATGCAACCTAATAAGGAATTTGTTCTACAAAGATCATTGCATTAATACAAAAAGATAAAGTGAAAAAATGTTAAACATTACTTGCAGTTTTGAAAAACTAAAATATCCCAAATGATCATCAGTCAGAAATTTGCAAACTAAGTTAAAGTACTTTTTGAACAATATACAAATTCATATTTATGCATAACCTTGAATTATGTTAAGATAGCATGAATTTCCTTAAAATAGAGTGCCTTTATTCTGCATAATAGAACTAAAGTTTTAAACTAAATTTTTATGTTTCATAGGATGTGTATTTGTGTAATCAAACTCAAGACCTTGTACTTGCCAGGCAAGCACTGTGCCACTGAGCTACATCCCCGGCCCAACTACATTTATTTTTAACTGATATAAAAGCATAAAAATTGTACATATTTGTAGGGTACCATGTCATGTTTCAATACACGTTTACTTTGTGATTGATATACATTGACTTTTAATGTATGCTTCGGAATATATGTTGTTGGAGGTGTATCTGTCATCTTTTGACATATTTTCTTGGCATCAGGTGTTGGTGTTCATTTTCTTTTTTTTTTTTTTAATTTTATTTATTTATTTATTTTTTTGTTGGTGTTCATTTTCAATGTCAGAGGTGGCCAACCTATGACACGCATGCCTTAGTGGACTCATTTGTATGATTGAAAGTTTTGTTCTATTTTTTGGTACTGGGAATTGAACTCAGGACCTTGTACTTGCTGGACAGGTACTGTGCCACTGAGCTATTATCTCCAGCCCTAAAAGTTTTAAAAGGTTTGCCATCACTGCTCTAGATACATAGTGATTATATTGTAGTTTTAATTACCTATTATTCTATAGAACTTTCGGCATTTTCCTTTTGTTTTGTAAATTTTATCGATTACATCTTTTTTATTTATAATTTCACTTGAGATATTTTAGCTCTATATTTTTATTAATAGGTGATGTAAAGATGTACATTCTATCACAAAAAACTTGATTATCTTTTTCCAGATGTCTTAAAATCAGTGATTTACTTTTTGTTTTTGTCTGTGTTATTTTGGTCACCAGCCATGAAATCTTCCCAGGGTTCTGGTAGTTTTGGAGCTGTTCTGGGTAGCAGACCCTCACAGAAGGAAACCAACAGGCAACTTTCTTACTCAGATAATCAGGTATGTTAGTATGAATCTTTTTAGCTTTAAAAAAAAAAAAGAAATTACGTTTTGGACAGGTGTACCATGCAGTTGCAGAGTTAATTCAGCCCATGAATTTTAATATTTCTGGTATTTCTGGCATTGTTACAAGGGTATTTTCTACATAGCTGAGATTTATCATTGGCTTTCTTGATCCTTTGAACAATTTTCATGAAGATTAGTATGGTTTTTCACATCTCTTACCTATAATTTTACTATACAGCTTTTGCTTAGCAGCTCATAGCATTATGAACCAAAGTACACTGTAATTTGTAAAAGTGTGGCTGTGGAGTTAGGTGTGAGTTCAAGTGTGGTTTTGCCACTTGCTAGCTATGGATTGTTGGGGAAATTGGTTAAATGCCTTGAGTCTAGTGCCCATCTATAAAAATGAGACAGCAATAATGTGTTAACAGTTGCTATGAAATAGCGCATGTAAAAGTACTTAGCTCAAGTTATACTATACTACCTGCTAATACCCCTACAAGTATTTGGCATAATATCTTTTTTTTGTGGGGGGGAAGGGTCTACAGGGTTTCAGGGTCTCGCTATTAGATTAGACTTGTAGTGTTTACAGCCTTCCAAGAGCTGGCATTACAGGCGTGTACCACCACGCCCAGTCTCAATTGCTGTCTCAGCACACCCTGGGGGTAGGGCCAGCATGACAGGCTCAGGGATTGAACCACTGGCCCCTGTGCCTGCTGAGCTGTTTGGCCGGCCCATCTTTATACTCTTTAGGTTTGTTTTCTATATTATAAACTTGGCCTAGTTGTTTAGTTGTTGTTATTGGGATTTTATTTTGTTCTGTTGAGATAGGGTCTTGCTATATAGTTCAGGCTGGCCTCAAATTTGTAGCAATCCTATGTTAGCCTCCCAAGTGCTGGGATTCTAGGCCTGTGCCACCAAGCACAGCTTGAGGATTACCACAATTGTAGGTAAGAATTTAAAATGTTAAAATACTACTTAAATGTATAAAGGTTAACATATATAGTAGGTAAAAATATGTGTACCTGTAAAAGTAATTCCCATTAATGGAAATGTACAATTTTGTGACTGAGTAGCATTAAATAAAAAGGAATACAAAACTAGATGATTTTGTGCATTTTAAAGATAAATCGTGATTTTTGTACAGAAAAACTTTGACTAGTGTATAAAGTAGGAAAATAGAAGTACAAGAACAGTACATGGGGTGATGGTGAAACTTCTGTCTGTGGCAATTTTTTTTCTTTGTTTGTTTGGTTTTGGTTTTTGAGACAGGGTCTCCCTGTGTAGTTCAGACTGGTCTTGAACTCATTCTATAGTCCAGGCTGTCTTTGAACTTGTAGCAATTCTACTACCTCAGTCTCCTGAGTCCCGTCAGGCTTACAGACATGTGCTGCCACAACCAGTAGCCTGTAGCTTTTTATTTAATACTATATTTGTGAGCAATGCTTCCATGTTTTTCAATGCCAGAGATAAAACACAGGGCCTTGTGCATGATAGGCGAGCTCTCTATCACTGTACTATATCCCCAACCTTTAAGTTTGAAAATTATCGCCCATTTAAAAATAAGTGGGTCAGGGAATATAATGTAGCTCAGGGCACAAGCACCTGTCTGGCAAGCAGAAAGTCTTGTGTTTGATTCCAGTACCAAATAAATAAAGTTTACTTTTTTAAACCATTCATCCAGATTACTTAAAGAGTTTTTTAATATATAATAAATAATTGGATGTATCCTCTGTTCCATAGAGAATAACATAACTTTTGGGTAGGGGCAGGACTATGCAAGCCTTTGAACTTTATTCCCAACCCTTTTTGAGTCTTACTAAGTTGCCCAGGCTGATCTCAAACTAATATTGCTCCTACCTCAGCTTCCCAAATGTTGGAATTACAGGCATGTACTACCATACCTCGTTTTATTTACTTAATTTTTTTTTTTTTTTGAGACAGGGTCTCTGACAGGTTAATTTTTTTTTTTCCTGACGGGTTAATGTTATCCTTTAGTTACTGCAGATTGTTCAGGCCCACAATCTCCCAAATGAGTGGATGGCAGAGGCTTAAATAAAAGAGAAAAGTGATATGATTTTAGGGCTCCAGGAGGATCAAAACCCTCTAACAGTATTTGAGATTCTCTGGGGTCTAAGCCAGAACTTCTCTGGGCAGCTTGTATTTATATAGTTTTTGAAACAAAGAGGGAAACAGAAGAAAAGTCCTTAAGAAAAGGACTGCTAGTTTACTATAAGAAAAATAGGGCAGAATTTATCAGGATTTTCGGAGATATTTTCCCAAGTAGTAAATTATATCAATCACAAGAACGATCTTATTTTTCCCAAGTAGTAAGTTATGTCAATCAGGAGAACAACCTTATCTTTAGGTTAACACTTGTTGTAGGAGTATTGAGCCTGCAGCTGCACTCTCCTTTTATTTACTTGAGGTTGGAGGCAGAGGACCTCAGTTGTGGCCTTATCTTGTTCTTTGAGGCATCTCAGCTTTACAGCCCATTGTAGGCCTCAGCCAGGACCAGTGATTCTTAGAGGTTCACTTACTATGAATCCACTGCGCATCTCCAGACAAAGGGTCTAGGCCTTAGACACTTGAAGGTAAACATGGAAAGCTGATTGGTTTATTTTAAATCCTGCTTATAGCTGCTTGGTAGTGGTCTCCATCAGGTCTCCCCATGTAAATTCAGGCTGGCTTTAAAATCACAATGCAGGGCTGGGGAGATGGCTCGGTGGTATAAGTGCCTGCCTGGCAAGCACAGGGCCCTGTGTTTGATCCCTGATACTGCAAAATAAATAAAGTAAGTGAAAAATCACAATGCACCCTAGGCTGGCCTCCAACCCACAGTGATCCTTATGCCTCAGCATCCAGGCTGCTAGGATTACAGGTGCATACAACCATGCCCCGTGTTAAACATTCTAGAAGCCAGTACCAAAAAAATAATAATTTAGTCTTATATTCAGTTCTA